TAAGCACTGGATGAACGCTTATTCTCTCCAATTTCTTTTCTGTATCTAGCTTCAACTTACCACATATGCTGGTTTCAGAGATATCAATAGTTTATGTGAATTTCAAGACATTTCCATGGCAAACAACAGGGTCATGATAGCCCTAATATCGCTCACCTGAATATGAATATTCTATGACAAGGAACAAGTTATATTGTAAACTATGAATGAAAGCATAAATAAAATCTAAATCTTAAACTGATATCACAAATTAAGTTCGTAGTTGTATCTGAAATAGTGCATGTGTAAAAACTTTACTGTTTGCTTTTGCTAAGGGAAAACAAAAGTTCCATAAGATGTCAATGTTTGCTATACAAAATTAATGATTTCCTTTGGAAGTCAGTGCCTGCTATGAAGTTCAATAGTAGATTCACTCGTTACTATGGAAAGTTAATGTTTGCTTGTTGCTATAAAAATTTGCTATGAAAAGTCAACGGCTGCTTTGAAGTCACTGGTTGCTATTGAAACTAAGTTCCAGCACTTGTAGATTTAGAGAGTAATTATTTATTTTTTTACTATATACATATTACGTAAATCTATGTTCCCCGAAAGGTGGAACAATTTTGACCCAGGGCTGTAATATTTGTAGAGGTCCACAAGAGAATGTTTCAAACCAAATATCTAAGCTAAAGCCTCTATAGTATAATAGAACAAGATTTTGTTTTTCTTATATACATATAAGGAAAATCAATTACTCCCCTGGGGCGGGCCAATTTTGACCCTAGGGCTTCATTTGAACAAACTCGGTTGGCAACCACTAGAAGGTGTTTTTTTTTCTTAAATATCTTAGCTCTAGCTCTTTGGCTTTCTTAGATGATATATTTTTGTTTCTTATATACATTACAATTTTGACCTCACGGTTTCATTTGAACAAACTTGGTAGACACCCACTATAGAAGATGTTTCATGCTTAATGTCTAAGCTCCACCTCTTTGGGTTTTTTTAGAAGATTTTTTTCCTTATATACATATAAGAAAAGTCATTGACCCCCTGGGGCGGGACCAATGTTGACCCCAGGGCCTTTATTTGAAGAAACTTTGTAGACACTCACTAGAAGATGTTTCATATCAAATATCTAAGCTCTAGCTCTTTGGTTTATTTAAAAGAAGATTTTTTATTTTTTCTTACTATATACATACACGGAAAATCAATTACCCTCGGGCGGGGCCAATTTTGACCAAAGGGCTTTTATTTGAACAAACTTAGTAGGCACCCACTAGAAGATGTTTTATGTCAAATATCTAAGCTTTAGCTCTTTGGGTTTTTTAAAAGAAGATTCTTTTGTCTCTACTATATACAATCAATGGGGCGGGGCCAATTTTGACCCCATAGCTAGATAATGTTTCATGCTAAACATCTTAACTCTAGTTATTAAGTTTTTATGCCCCCACAAAGTGGGAGCATAAAGCGTTGCACTTGTCCGTCCTTCCGAACGTCCCGAAATCTTGTGAACGCAACTCCTCTTAAACCGGATGGCAGATTTTGCTTAATGTGTAGATGGTAGTAAAGGAAGGAACTTTTGCTGCGACCAAATTTAACAAAATTATGGCCCTTTGTTGATTTTTTCACTATATACTATGTAGAAATTTTGTGAACTCAACTCCTCTTAAACCGGATGGCAGATTTTGCTTAAACTTCAAGGGATTAACAACCTTAATGTGTAGATGGTAGTAAAGGAAGGAATTTTTCGCTGCGACCAAATTTAACAGAATTATGGCCCTTTGTTGATTTTTTCACTATATACTTATAATGTAGAAATTTTGTGAACGCAACTCGTCTTAAACCGGATGGCAGATTTTGCTTAAACTTCCAGGGATTAACAACCTTAATGTGTAGATGGAAGTAAAGGAAGGAGTTTTTGCCGCAACCAAATGTAACAGAATTATGGCCCTTTGTTGATTTTTTCGCTATATACTATGTAGAAATTTTGTGAACGCAACTCGTCTTGAACCGGATGGCAGATTTTGCTTAAACTTCCAGGGATTAACAACCTTAATGTGTAGATGGTAGTAAAGGAAGGAATTTTTGCTGCGACCAAATTTAACAGAATTATGGCCCTTTGTTGATTTTTAGTTTTCAACTTGTGGCACATGTAGTCCAAAAAATATTTGACCTAGTCATAAGATTGACAGAACAGTGGCGTGTGGGGGCATCCGTGTCCTATGGACACATTTCTAGTTATAGAAGAGTTTTTCTTTCTTTATATACATATAAGGAAACTAGAAATGTGTCATCATGCCACGGATGCCCCCGCATGCAGCCAACATTTCAGATGGTGCATTAATTATTTTTTTCATTTTAAGTTCAAAGCCCTTAAAACTTTTCAATGTTAACACAAACCATTTTCATATAATGTTCAAGGCACTGAAATTATTCAGTCTTAACCTTTTAAAAATAGCATATTGCATATTTGTAGCCAAAATAATGGCTAAAAGTATGAGTGCTGAAACTGAAAGTTCAAAATTTTCCAACATTCAGGAAAGATAAGTTTGACTAAAATCATTGAACCACAACCAAATTCAAACTTAAACTGCTTATTCCTAAGATGTATCTATATTACTTTCAAAGTGAAAGGGACATAACTCTGCAAAAAAATCATCAAACCATGACCAAATTCCAACTTGACCTGCCCATTCCTTTGACATATCCATATGTCAAATTTAAGTTGAATATGTAACACTGTTGGGTAGATAATGAACAGAAACTGTAAATTTCATATTATTTTCAAAGTGAAAGGGGCATTACTCTGCCAAAAATCATTGAACCATGACCAAATTCGAACTTGGCCTGGGCATTCCAAAAACATATCCATATGTCAAATTTGAGTTGAATGTGTTGTACCATTGGGAAGATAATAAACGGAAACTGAAAATTTCATATTACTTTCAAAGTGAAAGGGGCATAACTCTGCCAAAAATCATTGAACCATGACCAAATTTGAACTTGACCTGCGCATTCCTTTGACGCATCCATATGTCAAGTTTGAGTTGAATGTGTTGTACCGTTGGGGAGATAATGAACGGAAACTGAAAATTTCATATTATTTTCAAAGTAAAAGGGGCATAACTCTGCCAAAAATCATCGAACCATGACCAAATTCGAACTTGACCTGTATTTTCTCATGACATATCCATATGTCAAGTTTGAGTTGAATGTGTTGTACCATTGGGGAGATAATGAACGGAAACTGAAAATTTCATATTATTTTCAAAGTAAAAGGGGCATTACTCTGCCAAAAATCATCGAACCATGACCAAATTCGAACTTGACCTGTATTTTCTCATGACATATCCATATGTCAAGTTTGAGTTGAATGTGTTGTACCGTTGGGGAGATAATGAACGGAAACTGAAATTTCATATTATTTTCAAAGTAAAAGGGGCATAACTCTGCCAAAAATCATCGAACCATGACCAAATTCGAACTTGACCTGTATTTTGTCATGACATATCCATATGTCAAATTTGAGTTGAATGTGTGCAACCGTTCTTAAGATAATGAACGGAAACTGATGATGACGGAATGACAGAATGACGGAATGACGGAACAGGGTAACACTATATGCCCCGGCCATTACATGGCGGGGGCATAAAAATGACGCCCTGGGGCTCGGTCAATTTTGATCCCAGGGCTTTTATTTGAAGAAACATGGTAGAGACCCACTAGAAGATGTTTTATGCTAAAATCTAAGCTCTAGCTCTTTGGGTTTTTTAAAAGACGATTTTTTATGTGTTTTCTTTTCGTTCTGTATGGAATTCAATTATTTGAACAATTTTCAAAGGTGACCATCCAAGGAACATTCCTGTACAGTTTGGATGAAATTGGCTTAGCAGTTTACAAGGAGATGTTGTTATAAGTTAGAGTTTATGGCCGGACAATGGACGAAAAGCGATCACAAAAGCTTACCATGTCACTTTAATTGTGACAGGTGAGTTAAAAGGGAGAATATTATCTTTCTTTAAATGCACATACAGGTTGTAAGACTTGCTCTTCCTGGCTCACTTGTGACCTTTAAAAAAATATTGTAAGTTTAACTTTGTTCCTTTTCTTTTTTTCAGACAAATGCAAGCTAGTACATGTAGATCTAAATTAATTGACACTTCCCATGTTTTAAGGGACATAACTGTCAAAATGTTATCAATAGTTGAGAAACTTTGCCTTCTGGGCTTGCTTGTGACATTTGCTACATATTTCAAGCAAGAGTTAAAGTTATTAAAGTAAAGTTATTAAGAAAATTTCTGAACATTTCCTAATAAGTGAAAAAGACCACAGCTTTATGAAAATACAATCTAGAGATGTACACCATGTCTACTAGTTTGCTTGTAACCTCTCAAATCTCATGTTTCAAGTTCATATCTGTAAATACTTGTATATTATAGCAAATATCAAAGCAAATGCACAAGTCTGTTTGTAACCCTTTAAACTCATATACTAGTATATGTAGTTTATGTTTAAATATCCAAAATTAATCACATGAACTGCTTTTAAACATAATGAAGAAAAGAAAAACAATAAAGCTTGTAATTCCTATATACAACAAAAACCTGATGTATGCTAGTCAGTGTAATAGTGTTTTTATTTATAAAACTAAACTTTCCTATCTCTTTTCGTTCAGAAATAGTTCTATCAAATGAGGGCACTATACCACCACACAAAATACACACATATAGATCTGGAGGCAAATGGATAAAAAGACAAACATTATATTACATCACATGAATTTATTGTTATTCAAAATATGAGCCACGTCATGACAAAACCAACATAATGGGTTTGCGACCAGCATGGATCCAGACCAGCCTGTGCATCCGCACAGTCTGATCAGGATCCATGCTGTTCGCTATTGGTTTCTCTACTTGTTATGGAGTTGGTAAGCGAACAGCATGGATCCTGATCAGACTGCGCAGGCTGGTCTGGATCCATGCTGGTCGCAAACGCATTAGGTTGTTTTTGTCGTGACGCGGCTTATATTACATCACGTGAATTAATTGGTATTCAAAATATCATATTTAAATGTTAGCACAAAAAATGATCTAATCTATCAATCTCACTGAAAACAAAATTACAAATATTAATAATTAGAAAATTATTCCAACAAAAGTTATTTATCTCTCAAAAATAACTACGAATGTTGTTCATTTATCGAATTATACACCGATTTTAAGACTTTTAGAAGAGCATTCTATCCTGAACCAAAAATATTAATTTGTAAAAAAATTACATCTCTGATAGGCATTGTAAAACAAAATGCTCGAAATGTCTCTCAAATACTCATTCAATGAATCATTGTATTCTGTCAGTAAAACATGAGTTAAAATTAAATGCTAAAAAATTGTTGTATTCATAGAAACTCTAAAACATCTTGGAATTCTACACCTTCTAAATCAGGTCAAAGATTTGACAATTCAGTGTCCTGTATGTGTATTTCGGGTTTGTTTACCCTCACCACCAGGGTAATTACCATAGCGAGCATTACTCGCTATCATAAGCATTACCAACTAAGACCCACTGAATTTGGTTTTACAGTTTAATACCCAGGTTTACGAACCCTGGTCTAGAGGAATCAACATTGACTCCAATTTCTAATACTTCTGTTCTAAAATAGCAATAATCAGTAAAATCACATTGTTGGGAGAAAAGTAAATTCAAGTTTATTACAATTGCAAGTTTGTGAAGAAAGTCCATTTTGAAGACTAGAGGTCAGATACCAACACTGACTTGACTCTGGAATGTTCCGGATAAATGTACGCACGTGTATGGAGTAATATGTAACTATGGTAATACATTTATGGCAACATAGACATTTACAAACTTCTATCTGTCTAAATGGAAATAACTATAAACTACAAATCACATGGAACTTAAAAATAACTGGTAAATCTAACTTTTATACCATTATTAAATGACAACAAATCACCGGTTTATGTTTTTATGAATATTTTACCTTGTACAATGAATATTTATTTCAAGATTATTTTATGAGAAAATCAAGGAAAATTTGTAATTGCTAATGTTAGCTTATGTTAGCAATGTTTAATCTGTTATTAAAAATAATATAAATGAAAATTTAACTGAATAGCTATATTAATATTTAAAGCAATTATTAAGCTCTAAACACATTAATTTTATCATTCAACCAAACAGCATCAATTTGTCTTGATAAAACACCAAATTGTAGCAATATTCTAGATGTTCAAAGGGAGGTAATAAACTTACATGAAATAACAACAGAAGGTAAATGCCTACAGATATGTACAATACATAACTATGCATTGTAAAGGGTCATGTATATCCCATGTCTTTTTCTAGACCAAACAATTGATCAAACACTATCCCTAGTAAACTAACAAGGACTACCCCGATAGATAATGAAATTTGAATAACAGAATAAACAGACTAATGAAATAATCCTGATGTCTTACACATGAACAATATAATACTTGTTAACAGTAAAACAAAATATAAAGATTTTCTTCAAAAACAAAACCCACATTTTAGCACTTATATACTATTATAATTACACATTACCATGTCAAACATGTAAACTATATCTGCAAGTGTAATACTGGCTAACATTAACTACTGACTGCACTGACAATCTGCTGACACATTATATTTATCTTTAAACACTAAAGGAAAAATACATACAGGTCCTTTTAAACAGTCTGTACTGTATCTTTAAATTCCAGTATGACAGTACCTTTTATTAAGCTGCCTTTCAAACCTATGTCTAATACACAAATTTTTGTCAATTTTTTCACACAAAAAAAAAAAAAAAAAAATGAAATGAGCCACGTCATGACAAAACCAACATAATGGGTTTGCGAGCAGCATGGATCCAGACCAGCCTGCGCATTCGCGCAGTCTGATCAGGATCCATGCTGTTCGCAAACCCATTATGTTGGTTTTGTCGTGACACGGCTCAAATCAAGCTTGCAATGAATCTGTATGAGAAATGTTCATGAGCCGTCATTCTGACAAGATGTCAACCGAGGTCTCGGTAATTTAGATTTTACAGAATCTGCTTTTGCTTTAGCAAACTCTTTAGCCTTTTCTTTCCTCGATTCAGGAATAACTTTATTTTCAGCCTCCGATTCTGGTCCATAGAGTTTATTTAAGACATAATCGAAGCCAATTACAGCTTTGGAAGCATTTTTCTTGTAGCGTTGAATACCGAATGACGCTATAACACTTGATATTGTTCGTACACCAGAATTCACCCAGACTTGCCGTGTACACTGTGTTGTTTCAGAATTATCGCCTTGTTGTGTGTATGTACATTTCTCCTCGACACTCTGCAATAAAATCATGATGCAAAATCTGTAAAACTATAAACAATACCTGCATTAATATCAACTTAGTTTGCCTATGCTTTATTATATTGATACAGATACTTGTTACAGATATAAATATGATTAAGCTGGGTCAATTAGCAAAAACTGTGCATCAAGGCATACATTAGGAGAGAAGAAAACATGTTGAAAGGGACAAAATAATGTGAGCATATGCTGTTGTTGCACGTTTTTTTTATATGTATTACTCTGGGTGGCATAAATAATAGCTTTCTGCAATGACCTCCCTATTAGTTTCATTATCAAAATATAACTGTCAAATGACATTGAACTAGCACATGGACAGCATGACAAGACAGTTTTCTTTGTATGAAAAACTGATAAAGAAATTGGAAATTACCAAATTAAATGTATGATTTTATAAAATGTATGATTTTATATAAGAATAGACATTATTCACCTTTTTTCATGCATTAACATCTGCAGGAGCCCTTGGACTTATTAAATCCCTTGCCCAGTTGGCACTGGGTGTAAATGCATACTCGTACTTCTGCACATGTGAAAGCATAAAAAAACTAGAGGATGCTTTTGTAAAAAAGCGCATGTCTCCCCCACTGCACTGTGACCTTGACCTTTGACCTACTGACCCCAAAAACAATAGGGATCATCTGCTCTATAAGACCAATCATCCTATGAAGTTTGAGGGCTGTAGGTCAAAAGGAACTCTAGTTATCATCCGGAAACGAGAAATTGACCAACGGTCACTGTGACCTTGACCTTTGACCTACTGACCCAAAAAACAATAGGGATCATCTGCTCTATAAGACCAATCATCCTATGAAGTTTGAGGGCTGTAGGTCAAAAGGAACTCTAGTTATCATCCGGAAACGAGAAATTGACCAACGGTCACTGTGACCTTGACCTTTGAACTACTGACCCCAAAAACAATAGGATCATCTGCTCAATAAGACCAATCATCCTATGAAAGTTTGAGGTCTGTAGGGCTAAAGGAACTCTAGTTATCATCCGGAAACGAGAAATTGACCAACTGTCACTGTGACCTTGACCTTTGACCTACTGACCCCAAAAACAATAGGGATCATCAGCTCTATAAGACCAATCATCCTATGAAGTTTGAGGGCTGTAGGTCAAAAGGAACTCTAGTTATCATCCGGAAACGAGAAATTGACCAACGGTCACTGTGACCTTGACCTTTGACCTACTGACCCCAAAAACAATAGGGATCATCAGCTCTATAAGACCAATCATCCTATGAAGTTTGAAGGCTGTAGGTCAAAAGGAACTCTAGTTATCATCCGGAAACGAGAAATTGACCAACGGTCACTGTGACCTTGACCTTTGAACTACTGACCCGTAAACAAATAGGGATCATCAGCTCTATAAGACCAATCATCCTATGAAGTTTGAGGTTGTAGGTCAAAAGGAACTCTAGTTATCATCCGGAAACGAGAAATTGACCAACGGTCACTGTGACCTTGACCTTTGAACTACTGACCCCAAAAACAATAGGGATCATCTGCTCAATAAGACCAATCATCCTATGAAGTTTGAGGTCTGTAGGTCTAAAGGAACTCTAGTTATCATCCGGAAACGAGAAATTGACCAACGGTCACTGTGACCTTGACCTTTGACCTACTGACCCCAAAAACAATAGGGATCATCTGCTCAATAAGACCAATCATCCTTTGAAGTTTGAGGTCTGTAGGTCTAAAGGAACTCTAGTTATCATCCGGAAACGAGAAATTGACCAACGGTCAGTGTGACCTTGACCTTTGACCTACTGACCCCAAAAACAATAGGGATCATCAGCTCTATAAGACCAATCATCCTATGAAGTTTGAGGGCTGTAGGTCAATAGGAACTCTAGTTATCGTCCGGAAACGAAGAATGGACGGACGGACTGACGGACGGACGGACTGACGGACGGACAGGGCAAAAACAATATGTCTCCCCCCGAGGTGGGGGAGACATAATTAAACCTCTTAATGCTATCGAAAACTTTAGTAAAGATTCACTTACATTCAAATAAAGAGATTCTACTAAGACCTCAGTCAGCTTCACATATACTTTATATTAAAGATCTGGACTAAGAGGTGCCCATGAGTTATATTTTGTTGTATATTTTGCGTATAAATAAAAATATCATACCATAACTTTTTGTTGCACAATGTTTCTTGTATATGTCACAAATGTTTTATTTTTAAGATCCAGGATAGATTCCTCCACGAGATATACACCTTTGTTCAGACCGTGCACAAACCTTTCTCCCCATTTTGGTAAACTGTTGGTCTTAGTTATAAGCCTTTTGGTAATCAGTTGAGTGCCTTCTACTCGTCTTTCAATAACATCTTCAGACAGGACATGTTTACTGAAAAACAGACAGACAATAAAACATTAACATGTGCAAGGGAAGTAACTCACAAAAATAAGTTCATTTAATTGATGTATTAATTGTATTCCTTGCTCCACAAACCCAAAGTTGGAACTTGTCTGTCAACTTGGCAGTCTGAAGGACAGCTAAATCTCCTTCCACAGGGAACATGAGATGTGTACTTCTTAACCTTTAGCTAACCATGACCTTGATGTTGTGCCATGCATATCATAAGCATAGTCTAATGATGGTGATTTTTTGTGCCAAGTTGTTTAAAATATTCCATAAAGTCAAAGTTAATGAGAACATATAACTTTGACCTTGAAGGTAGCAACCTGGATGTAACTTAGGGGTAGCAACCTGGATGCAACTTGGGGGTAGCAACCTGGATGTAACTTGGGGGTAGCAACCCGGATGTTGTGCTCTGCAGATTGTGTCATGGTGGGGATCATTTTTGCCAAATAAGTTAAAAACCTTTGAATTGTCAATAAGTTATACAGCGGACATTAAAAATTGATGTTTGAACATTGAACCTTTGAGTGAGGGTAGTGACTTTATTGTTGTGCTCTGCACATGGTGTCATAACGGTGATCAGTCTTAAAAACATTGCAGCTGTTTAAATGTTATGGATCGTTACAAAATGTAGCCTTAAAGTGTGACCTAGACCTTGTAGGTAACAAACTAATTATTGCGCTGTGCACATTGTCTCATAATGGTGCTCACTTGTGCAAAATTATTTTTTAAAAAATTCAGCGCTTTAAAAGTTATGGACCGGACACGAAATGTAGCCTTTTTAACACTTGACCTTCAAGTGTGACCTTGATCTGGGGGGTAGCAACCCAATTATTGCACTCTGTATATCATCTCATAATGGTGATCACCTGTGCCAAATTATTTTTAAAAAAAACTCAGCAGTTTAAAAGTTATTTATGGAGCGGATAGAAATGTACACTTTTCAACAATTAACCTTTGGGAAAGCAACCCAATTATTGCTCTCTGCATATTGTCTCTTAATGGTGATCACTTTATGGTGATCACTTTTGCCAAGTTATTTCAATTTTTTTTTGGCAGTTTGAAAGTTATGGAGTCAACACAAAATGTAGACTTTTTAACATTTGACCTTGACCTTGGGGGAAGCAACCAAATTATTGTGCTCTGTGCATCGTCTCATTATGGTGATCACTTATGCCAAATTATTAAAAAAATTTAATAGTTTTGGAGTGGATATGAAAGTGTTACGGACGAACAGAGGGATGCCATTCCTATTTTCCCCTGCCCGCTTTGTGGATAACTGCTATCATATAATAACAAATAATATGTCCGGACATTTTCTAACGTAGCTGATTCAAGAGTATACCAAAACAAAATGGTACTAATATGTTATACAAGTACAATTGCAGATTGTACACAGACATTTCATACATACAGTGTTTTATAGAAGGGTTGAAAGTTCACTATGACTGGAAGTGTTTCTTGTTCAGAGGTATGTTATGTTCAAGTATGAAGGCTGTAGAATGAAGATTGTACAGGTATAGTTAACGTTGTGAGCAGACTAACAAGGAAATAGACAAGACAACTAACAATTTATGAGTCTGATTTCCAAGGACTTGTAAATATTTGCATATGTTTTCATTACAAATACAATAAAACAAAAAAATAATTTTATGGAAGTTGGACAAACCTGTTTGGATTTGGATATCTTTGCCAAAACCCAGCCACAACTTGGTCCCATGTAAATTGAAAAGCATTATCACATGTGAAGAATTTCATTGCTGCTCTCTGAAAACACATAATCAAAAAATATGATGAAATCCAAGTCCTGTATATTCATTCAAGTCATGCATTCTCTTAGTTACATACTATAAATATGGAATGTGTCAACTTTTAATAGTAATACTTATAGTTGAGACCCCTGAAGTGGCTAGTTGTATGTGCCAGCACTACTAACCAGAAGTGGCATAATTACTGTATACCCTAGTTGTACAGCATTTTTATAGATATTTAAAATAATAAGAGCCATCAGTGACCACATGTGTTGCCTGATGTCATGATAGCCAAATTCATATTGCAACTACTGGTTTAAACATATTTATTTTAGCTCGATTGCGAAACAAGTTCTTGCAACATGGTCGTGACCCGAGTAGGGCTGGAACCCATGATCTCTGGGTTGAGAGACAGACACCTTAACACTAGGCCACCGCTCCCCTTAGTTGCAACTACTGTTTTGCAGGAGACACAAAAGTCATTAATATGCCAGGATGTCTTTTTTTCATATCAAGGGCCATAACTCAGGCCAAAACCATTCAACCCATTTAATGTGAGCAATTACTTGATGTATGATCAATCATATAACATTTCATTTAATTTGCATTAATAGTATAAGAGTGTTTGTTAATTATAAATTTATACTAGGAAGTGGCTAGGACACACTTTATTGTCTAGCTGTACGGCACTTTTTAATATTTCAAGAAAGTCTTTGCTATTTTATGACTTTAAATGAGGATTTTAACCAAGAAATAGCAATTATCTTCGTATGTTTACTTTTTAGAGAGTAATCGCCATGTTGGGTAAAGTAAAGAAAGTACAAATATTGATCTTTGTCATCTTCAGATGGCGAGAAAAAAAGAGCGGTTAGTCGCAGTTGAATACTATTAATTGAAATTGTTTACATAATTACTATAGTCATCTTTTTGTGTTTCAATAAGTTTAATTTTCAACACCTAAAACTTAATGAAAAATGCACTGAAAATAATTGTTGCTGGGCTCTTATAATTCAATAATTAACTAACAGTAGAAGTTTGGGAGTCATTTACAAATGTAGGAAAGTTTGCATGTCCCGTGAAACGCATTCTAAAATTCTATTGTCAGCCCCTTTATAGACTTTAATTTAGGCTAATTGATTGTGCTTTAATGTTCAATATTTATCACATATATACATAAATTTTATGGTCGATATTTATGTATTTAAAAATACAATTATACACATAAACACACAACGCCAGGGTTCTAGTGAGAATGTGTTTATTCTTGAAATTGACAAAAACAAGCTACTTCCGCCATTAAATTTATAATTACTGGTTTCCTAGCAGTTTCCGGCCACAAATCACACTTTTTAACAAATAAAATAAAAATCAGTCTAAGGAGGGGTACAAAACTTTGACAGGACAAAGTTAGGTACCTGTCCAGCATTGCCATGTGTTTAATGTTGCACTTTCATTTTATAATTTGAATATAGGCCTGAAATGTAACACCTTTTTTCACTTTTATTCCAAAATTCATGGCAGTTTTCCGGACCTTTGTTATTTTGAATATAATTCAGTACCATAAAGCAATATTAAGATGGTTTTATCCGACAAACAGAACTTCCCAACCTTTTCCGTGTCGTCTGTAAAAATATTTTCCAAAGTATTGATTTACCTAGAATAGTGTCTTGCTTATGCAGGTGTTGATTATTTTTTAAAGTCACAAGTTCTCTTATATAACTTTGAACAACAGGCAGAACTTCAAAACATATAAATCGCTGTGCTATTTGAAATGCTGTTTAACAGTCTCTCTGATTGATGAAGTAATGATGATGCCTTACTGGTAAAAATAGACTGCACTGGACGAAAATGATAAACGGCCGGAAAACTGCTAGGGGACGGAAACTGCTAGGAAACCAGTATTTATTCCATGTGCTTAATTAAAAATAATGATTTAATAATTCATCTTTCATACAAATAAAACTACAAATCATAAGCATTAAAAACAATGGCGTTCTAACTTAAATTCTAACATGACCCGCATTTTTCCCTATTGAACAGAGAAGAACCGAAAGTGTGAGTTATTATGCAATAAAATAACTGTTGATATTCTATATTTAGACATGTGATGTAAGTACTAAAAATGCGATGTGCTAAAATATTTAAGTACGGAAACAAATCAAGCTCAATTTAGCTTCCTATCAGGTATGGCAGCATTTATTTGTTAATGTCGTGTTAGAATCAAAAATAATATATCCAAATCAGTGATTTTATCATCGTTTGATAACATCACTGTTTGTCATTCGGATGTGAGGAATTGTAATTTATATCACGAGGGCGAAGGGGTGTAACAATAAGGCAAAAACCGTATTGCGATATATATTCAGGGCTCATCCGGAAGGGCGATTCAGGCGAAAACTTCGCCGTGTATATTTCCATTTCGCTCTCCCAAATGATCAAAGAGAAGTCAACATCGCCGATAAAATCTTAATTCCCAAAGAGTAATTACTTGGCGATGTAAAGAGCAGAGATTGTATCCGCCCATATGACGACTGCTAATTATCATTATCCAATCAGAGCGTCGCTTTTTACTACCCTTCTACCTGTATGCAAAGCGATAGACCGCCTACTCTAAACAGTAAATAATGACAGCATCGGCCCGAAACGGGTATAATTGTGTGACGAGTTTAATACGGAATTTGGCGATAATAATAGATTGTTTTTTCCCGATCATCTAAACACGTGTAAATCTTCCCTAATTGATATAGACACGCGGTGTTTAACCCGAGAAAAGGCGATGTGCAATGGGTTTTTCACGGCTATCACAAAACTGTTAGTCAATTAAAAATAATCAATTTCATTAATGATCAGCGACCGGATTAAAAACTTAATCATAGTTTTGAATGATTTCAGTCCGAAAAATTGTTATGTCGCTCACGTCATGGCTACAGGGCGAAATGCCCAAACCTAGCAGTAAAAGAAAGTTACCTACGCGAAAATTTAAGAAAGCCAATTCGCAAAAATCTTACGATTGGTATGTTGTAGACAGTGAGAGTGTTTGGCATTGTTATCTTTGTAGAAATGCCAAATTTGACACAGCTTACGCACGTGGGCACGACATCCCGGAAAAACTACGAATCATGATCGGCATGCTACATATCGGTCGTATATCATGTGTACATGTATATAACAACAAAATTTGTCAGGAAAGAAGTGTTCTTATTGTTTCAATATATATATATTTGTTTTAATGTCATAAATATGACGCTCAGATTAAGATTTATCAATATTGTAAATTTCAAAAAGCATTATTTATAAAGATATTACGAGTTTAACATTTCATGAAAATAAAGGGAGGTAATTAGAAATTTATTTTCTATAATTTCTCAGTCAAATTTTTCAATAAGAAATGAATGTATATAATTTTAGTGATCAAATATAATGTGCACAAATGTTTGCAGTACATATTTTACATATTCTGCGATGTTTGAAAATTGTTTTATAAGTATAATTATATGCACATAAATGTGACATTACAACATACAGGGTAATATCCAATGTAACTTTATCTTCTATTAAAAGTGAGGAAAGTAAAAATATAAAATTGATTTATTCATCATATTTTTTTCTTACACATTATTATCAATAAATCTACATGAAAATATATAAACAAATATTTAGAGAAAGCTTATAAATAGCTGATAAATAGATTAATTGTGTTTATATTATAGTTAAAGGATGTATATAGCCAGCCCATATAGCCATGCATGTTAATGCATACACATTGGGTTGTTTCCCTTCTCCCTATTTTTCGCGAGGAAGTCACTTCTCCCTAAAATTTCCCCCCAGGATGAGCCCTGATATTGCCATTTTGCCGAAGCGTATTGCAATATATTGCAATACATATTGTCGTGTATATGTTTTGATGTAAAGATGGAGTAACATTATATATTATTATTATATGTATATATTCTTAGTATGCGGAAAGTCCGAGTGGGGCCAAAAACTCATATAATAAAAAAGATTACAATGTAAAATGATGAACCATTTGAAAGTACACTTCCAGGTCTATGTTTTAAAGACTATTAAAAACAGAAATAACAAGAGCTGTCAGAAGGACAGCGCGCTCGACTTTTTTAGTGCTTGCCTATAAAACAAAACTTTGACAGTTAAGGGCACACAAGACTTTAACTAGGAATTTCTAAGTACAAATCAAGAAACATTTTCACAGAGTTATCTTCTCTTGCTTACAGATAGGTCTCATGATGGCACATAAGAACTCCAACTTCCAAAGTAATATCTCAAATGGTTAAGTCAACAAGTGGACAAGAATGAAAATTTTAACTGAGTTTCTAAGTCAAAAAGGGCCATAATTCAAATAAAATCCTTAACAGAATTACCTTCTCCTGCCCATGTTTTGGGACCATGATGGTAAACAAGTATTCCAACTTTCAAATTAATATCTCAAACAGTTCAGTCAAAAAGTGGACTGGTACTAAAAACTTAACCAAGATTCTAAGTCGATAAAAGGCCTTAATTTTTAAAACAAATCCTTGACAGAGTTACCTTCTCTTGCGTACAGATGGTGGTAATGATGTGAAATAGCATTAAAAGTTTCAAAGCAATATCTCAAAGGGTTAAGGCAATAAGTGGATTTTACCCATATTCAATGTATTTTCTAAGTCAAAAAGGGGCATAATTCTGTCAAAAACCTTGACAGAGTTATGTCCTCTTGTCTGTTGATGAAGGTCGTGATGGTAAACAAGTATGGTCAGTTTCAAAGCAATACCTCCAATGGTTTGAAATAAAGTGAGGTGGTACAAAAAACTTAACCAAGCTCAATACACTTTTCTAAGTCAAAAAAGGGCCATAATTCTGTCAAAAACCTTGACAGAGTTATTGTACTCCTGTCTGTAGATGGAGGTTATGATGGTGAACAAGTATGGTAAGTTTCAAAGCCATACTTGTAATACTTCTGAAATAAAGTGGGGTGGTACGAAAAACTTAACCAAGGTGTGACGCCAACGCTAACGCCGACGCCGACGCCGGGGCGAGTAGGATAGCTCCCCTTTTCATAGAAAAGTCGAGCTAAAAATGATAACAATAAGAATATTTACCTTGAATGTGCTACATTTCTGAAGACCAAGTACATTTTTCATGATTTCATGTCCTTAAAACATAGACCTGGAAGTGTACTTTCAAATGGTTCATCATTTTACATTGTAAACTTTTTTATCATATAATACGAATTTTGGCCTACTTTCACTTTGGACAGACTTGGTGTTTGTTTGTTTTGTTTGTTTCATTTAACGCCTTTTCCCAACAGTATTTCAGTCATATAGGCGGGTAGTTTCCTAACCAGCGTTCCTGGAGAGTTACACCAGTACTGGACTACCTTCCTCCGCTGATTAACATTTTTAAGGTGTAATTTTGTTGAAATTTCATATCATTTACAAGTGTCCATGTTATTTAAAAAAAAATAGCTTTAACAGAGTACATATACAGTATTTTGGTTCAAAACACAATGATAGGAAAATGTTTATTTGGGTATGTTTGCACTAACAAAGTTCTATGCTCCTGCGTTTATGAATAAATTATGCAAATGAGCCACGTTGAGCCGCCATGTTGGAGTTTCAGTAAGCGTGTTGGAAATTGCTACCTGTTCGTTTTGAAAGCTCGTCCTAACTTACAGTTTCCTTGAATGTAGGAAAACTTGGTTTTGTTTGATCGCATACTGAATGATAGGTATTACAAAATAAATATAATGAAAATCGATCAATCAATAATTGTACACGAGCGTTATAAAGTCAATTTAATTCTTCAGAATGATAAGATTCTGTTGCAGGGTATCGGTAAAAGACTGCTTTTTTTCCCGTTTTTGAAATTTATTTGAACACGGAGACAATTTTTCTCAAACAGGTTTATGAATATACTTTACGTTGTAACAGAGTTTACTGTGTGTCCATTCCTTATTTAAATTGTCTAAGAAGTTAAATCTGTTTGTTTACATGTAAATGTGTACCGTCATTTTGACCGACTGGAATAAAAACTATTATGACGGTGATAATACCGGATATGTAATGAAAATTACGCCGTGTAGTGCAAAGTTTTCGACATTGCAATTAAAATTAACGCTTACGTTGATTCAAACTGTTCCTTGTCAACAAAATTGAAACCGAAAATAGTGGTTGTTCTAGAATTTAATCGAATAAAATGGGTGGGATTTAACCACCGCGCATGCCCTGTGCGAACGTATTGTTTACATCCGGTCGTAGCATAGGGTAAGAGTGCAAACTTTGTTAGTGGTTTGATTATATCTTAGTGAAAGTGTATATAGTATTCATGATTAAAACAGCACTTTTTAGTATAAAACATTTATTATTAGTATAATTTGGTAATATTTGGGTATATTTAGGCAATATTTGGGTATATTTGGGCAATATTTGGGTATATTTCGGTAATTCGTGCTGCCTTTACCTGTTTACCCCACCCACTTGTAAAACATGTTTATAAGCATAATGTGAACTTTAATCAAACATATTTGCTTCAATAACTATTGCTATACGGTACCTGACTAGTAACACGGTAGTCAGAGGTAACAAAGCAGGCAGACAGAACGCACACGGCTTGTGCTCTGCGTATTTTTGACAGTTTCTAACTACGTGCGGGAGGGCAAATCATGGCGAACGTAAAAGACCGAACATATCCGAGCATTTTCTTTAATTAAACGAAAACGATTTTTTTTACGAAAAGAGCCATTCATTAATACTATCTTTCAACACGGATTTACATTAATATAAATCCGTACTTTCCATGACCATGAACATGTTCTTTGATATTGAAGAAGACCTGTTTTTGTTTGAATTCAGTAGAGTTACCTTAGCAAGTATTTCTAAAGAAAATAAATAAATAAAAAAAAAACTATCAAAATAAAGAGTTTTCATGAATCATCCAAAACAACACTGATATATTTTGAATGGCCTGACAAGCATATAAATTTTGGAAAGCTTTTGGATTGCATACCACACAAACCAAGCAAAACAACATACCAAAATACTAAAGATAATCTGTATGCAAACAAGATAAAACGGTGGCACAAAGGTGACATATTTGTGTCACTTAGCTTATCTCGTGGCCACGACTAAGTAACTCGTGGCTACGACTTAGTAACTCGTGGTCACGACTTAGCTATCTCGTGGCCACGACTTAGTAACTCGTGGCCACGACTTAGTAACTCGTGGTCACGACTTAGCTATCTCGTGGCCACGACTTAGTAACTCGTGGCCACGACTTAGTAACTCGTGGCCACGACTTACCTATCTCGTGGCCACGACTTAGTAACTCGTGGCCACGACATAGTATCTCGTGGCCACGACTTACCTATCTCATGGCCACGACTTAGTAACTCGTGGCCACGACATAGTATCACGTGGCCAAGACTTAGTAACTCGTGGCCACGACATATATAGTATCTCGTGGCCACGACTTATCTTATCTCGACCACGAGATAAGTAAAATACACACATATGTCACCTTTGACTGACTCTGACTTTTAAGGAATGAGTTAAATATTATAAAAGTCAAACTATTGTAATTAAAGTTTTGATTCTGATTTAGGATTTTTGGGCTCGTTTTGAAATTCAACTTATTTTCTATGATTTCCCCATTCATTTAAGATGCTAATCTTGTTTGATTTTATGAAATTATACTGTATGAAAATCATAATTAAAAAATAAAGGAAATGAAATAATCATATAATAATACGAAATTTGATTGTTGCTCTTGTACCGGATTAAGAGCCACATAGCGGGTTCTAATTTAGAGCAAAGGGAAGTTACTTAATCGAGACCATTGTTTGAGATTCGATCATAACGACGTCGATTCACCAAGATGATAAAACGTCGTTTCAACATTGTTTACATGTTTTTGACGTCGTTAATTTATTCAGCGTAATATGCAACGTCGATCTGGGTACACTATATATATAGTGTAAACCTTGGTTTAGGCCTACTTTTGACGGTTTTTATAAAGGAATTGATATATACCAGAAACAGACAGAACATAATAACACTGGAAATCGTTTACAAGAATGACCTTTAATTTACACCCTTGCGCTGCTCTTCTATTGCTAAAATATCTAATTCAGGATGGAACTTGATGATTTGTAGTTTAATTTTAAATTTGATTAAACCTAATACTAGTAATCAGAGAAGTATGTCTCTTTACCTTATCGTTTACTGAGATGTTCATTTTGATTGGGTACGTTTATTATGACTGTGTATGTCATACAAATTTAGTAGTCTGGGTTTGGTTATGCATGGGAACAACAGGAAACAATAAATAAAACAAATGCAAAGCTTCAAATACCTATATATACAAAATTGGAATGCACGATGCAGCTAGAATGATGTAATAGTAAATTGTATTGTTAAATACTTAAAAAAATATAATATAGAAACATATAATTATATTATATTCTTCATGTTGAAAAGTTTAGAACTAGTATACATAAATTCTGTAGTTTGTGTCACAGATGTATAAACATTATCTCCATGTTTGTGTCATAATCTAATGATTGAACAGGGTAGACACAAGAATATTCCGAAAGACATCCGGCCGTTACTGTCCTTATTGTAAAACAGATATAGATGATGAGTTTCATTTTGTTCTTATATGCCCTCTTTACATTGCAATTATTTTTGTTGTTGGTATTGTTCTTTATTCTATTTTTGTTTGTGTTAATTGAAATGAGAAATTTATCTTCCTTAAAAAAACAATTCCTTAGCTGAAATCGACTTTAGACTACTTTCTTGCCTTCATTTTTTAATTATCTCTTTTCAGTATTTCTGATCGATTTAATACAGTTTATTTATCTTGGCCTACGGTTAAAATATACACACAGTACAATAATTACTGACCTGTAACAGTGGCGACCTCATTGCTTTTAGTTGTATTACATACGGGTACATTTGATTTCTCGCTGCTATAATTATATATGCACAACAGTGTGTAAATTATTTTTTTGTGTTTCTATCTGTTTTTGTTTTTTAACAACTTTACCAGTTTAAATTGTTTTTCTGTGACTTAATTTTTCCTCAGTATAAACTTTAAAGTAAACTACAGGTAACACTATCTAAACTTATTTATAAGAGTATTCCCAATAATTAAAGGAAGAAATCAAATATTAATCCTATCAATTAAAAATACAAATTATTAGAATAACTACTATTAATAAATAATCAAGGTTAATGCCACATTTCCATTCCAATATCCATGTTCATTTATGTTTATTTGATGTTAACTTATTTTTTTGTATTTTTCTATTGCCATGTATTTTTTGCCACTATACTTTTGCCACTGCCCAACCTTGATTTAGTAATTATTGACACGCATACCTCATTGTTGCTCACCAAATATTATTTTTATGACTTATACCCATATGGGTAATGATATTATGTCTTGGCGACAATAATAGTCAGCAGTCTATGAATGTATATATTGTCAAGTCTTCAAAAAATGTCAACGATTATCTTATGTTCGTTATTGTTGTGTGTGTTTAACTTTTTTTTCATCAACGGAAAAACACCTCGAACTGTTTTTAAATTTTTCTTCATCTTTTTATTTTAACTGGAAAAACAAAATACGCTCATATTCTTATTGTTTTGTAAAAAAGTATAACTAAGGTAACACATGTTTATAGAATAATGTATTTGCTATACATTATTTACCTAATTATTATGTCTGGCGATGTTGAATTAAACCCGGGACCAATCGTTAATAAAGAAAACTGCCTTTCCATTTTTCATCAAAATATTAGAAGCATAAGAAATTTACAAACTGGACTATATAAAAGAAAATTTTTCAGATATGGATATTTTGTGTTTTACTGAAACTAAGCTAGATGCAAATTTTTTAGACAGTTATTTACAACTTTTGGGTTTTGACAATTTCTATCGTAAAGATTTAACGTGTTATTCTGGAGGTTTGCTTGTTTATGTTTCTTCTTTCATAAGACCAAGACGACTATTTAACTTAGAATATCTTCTTCCTGAATCTATTTGGATCGAATTCAAAGATAAAAACCAATCTTATCTATTATGCACAATATATAGGCCTCCCCACTATAAGGTTGACTTTTGGGATAAATTAAATAATTGTTTAGAAATAGCGTTAGAACATAACCAGCGTTTAATAATTGTAGGGGATATAAATGAAGATCAAATTAATACAACAAATCATAAATTTAAAGATGTTCTTTTAGTAAATAATATGATTAACATTATTGAATGCCCTACACGAATTACTCCAAATACGCAAACACTGCTCAATCCAATTGCCATAACAAATAATATCCATGTTTTTGACTCTGGCGTTTTGAAACTGTTAGCGAAATCAGCGATCATTTAGGAACATATATTTATTTATCGGTAGAATTTGATTCAAACAAACCTTTTAAAAGAAAAATTTGAAATTATAAAAAAGCTGACTTTGTAAAATTAAATTCATTGATAAGAAATACAGACTGGTCCTTTATTCAAAACAGTAATGTTAACGAGGCGTGCAGTTTATTCACGGACAAATTTTTATATCTAGCGAAACAATGCATTTCATCATATTATGCACTTATAAGGCCGAATGATAAACCTTGGTTTAACAGTAGTATACGAAAAATTTTAAACAAAGAGAAAGGCTCTTTCATAAAGCATTAAATAGTAATAAAGCTTCTGATTGGATAAAATATAAGCACTCTCGAAATCAAGTAAATAATATGAAAAAAATGCTAAAGAGATATTTTATAATAATTTAGAATTTTCATTGCACGATATGAGCAGTTCTAATCCTCGTGAATACTGGAAAATAGTTAAAATGCTAGTAAAAGATAATACAAATGAAAATGAAATCATACCTCCTCTTAAAACTTGTAACAATACTTTCTCCTTATCTGATATAGATAAGGCAAATACTTTAAATGAGTTTTTTAGTTCAATATCATGTGTTGATGATACAAATATAAAACTTCCACTATTTACTTTTGAAACTAATTCACGTCTTGAAGATTTTATAATTAATGAACAAGAGATTAAGGATACCTTATTGAATCTTGTCACCAATAAAGCTTCCGGCCCAGATGAAATCAGCCATAACATGTTAAAGGAAACATCAGAATCTTTGTGTGTTCCACTTTGTTTACTTTTTAATCTCTCATTAAATGAAGGAATATATCCCGATAAATGGAAACTAGCTCATGTAATGCCACTTTTTAAAAAAGGGAATAAGGACGAACCATCAAACTATAGACCGATTTCATTGATAAGCTGTGTTGGAAAAGTGATGGAACGTATTATATTTAAACATATGTATAACTATTTTCATATTAACTCATTACTATTTCAAAATCAATCTGGATATTTGCCAGGTCACTCAACTGTTTACCAGCTTATTGATATTTATAATCACATTTGTAAAGCTTTTGACAACAAAGAATCAACATGTATTATATTTTGCGATATTTCAAAAGCGTTTGATCGAGTTTGGCATAAAGGTCTTATCTTCAAATTAAAACAGTATGGAATTCTAGGAAAATTGATCTCATGGTTAAACAACTATCTTCATAATAGGTCTCAGAAAGTTTTTGTGTCTTCCTCTGTCTCTAATACTACAACATTACTTGGAGGAATCCCCCAGGGATCCGTCCTTGGTCCTCTTTTATT